TGGACCATGATCATGGAGACGGACCTGATGGACCAGGATCATGGAGACGGACCTGATGGACCAGGATCATGGAGAAGGACCCGATGGACCAGGATCATGGAGAAGGACCCGATGGACCAGGATCATGGACCACTAAAAGAAGCTTTCTTCTTCATTTCTATTGCTTAATTTAAATAATTATAGAATTATTACTTAATAATTATAAATTATAATAATAATTATTACTTAGAATCCAGATCAAAGCCAGTCATTTAAATTCCACATTTTAAGGCAACAAAATTAAAAACAACAGCTGGTTGAATTCTGAAAGGATTATATTAAATTAACAAATTATTTCACGAACCACGGGACATTTTAGCGCAACGTTCTAATTTGTCCCCAGAAACATGAACCAAACAGAAGCAAAAGCTTTTTAAAAAAGATAAATCAATAAACAGAAAATAAATAACCAAACAGTGAAACTGGTGAATATTTATGGGACATAAATCCGGTTTTAACACTCGACAAGTGATAAAATAAAAATGTGAGTTAAATTATTTCAAGTTTAATTAATTCCTCAAGTCTCAGTAATCAGCTGGCAGCAGTACGCCAGTTTATTTGTAGTTCTGTGGTTGTTTTCCTCTGGTTTGTCTAACAGTTTCCCAGAATCCCGCTGCCATCGGGCCCCACAGGCTCTTATCTGAGGGGGGGCCGTGCTGCTGGACTGCTGAGTCACCTTTCAGGGGAGGTCGCCCTTATCTCCCGAGCAGCACGGCGTTCGGGCCGTTGGTGACAAAAAGGAGGAACTCTGGAGCACGGCGGGTTGCTGTCTTCATGGATTGCTGCAACTTTCATGACTTCCTCAAAGCTTCGCCTCTCGGGGGGTGGGGGTGGGGGGTGTTGAGACCTCAGGTGTGACCTGGTCTCAGTGGACCGGGTCAAAGTTTCCTTCTATTCATCGTGAGCGTCAAATTAAATTTGAGCCTTTTGCTTTTTATGATCTGAAAATCTTCGGCTCGTATCTTGTTCTGCAGATTTTGGTCCGTTTCATCATCGTGCATCGAAACGTTCGGCTCCTTCAGGACGTTCCTGCTGGGACGTTTTGTGTTTGTTCAGTTTTTGCTTTCTGAAATATTTTGCTTTGTCGGCCATGTTTTCCTCATTGAAAATAATTGGAGCTGTTTACCTGTTACTGCTCCTTTTAGCTTTTGTTCCACTTCAGCTTCTTTCTACACATTTTAGCTATTTAAAGCTATTTTCTGCTTTTTCAGCTTCCTTCTGCTAATTTCAGCATTTTTAGCTATTTTTCTGCTCCTTTCAGCTTTTTTCTTCTAATTTCAGCCTCCTTCAGCTTTTTTCAGGTCATTTAAGCTTTTTTCAGCTTCTTTTTGATAATTTTAGCTCTTTTTTCCCCCTTGCTGTTTTTTGATAGTTTAGTGATTATATAATAATTGCAACTTTTTATGCTCTTGAGCCTCTTTCAGTTAATTCTGCAAATTTCTGCAGCTTTTTCTGCACATTTCAGCTGTTTATCTGCTGCTTTCAGCTTTTATTTTCCTGCTTCCAGCATGGGTCAGCTGTTCAGACTGGGCTCACTTCAGCAGTTTAGAGATTAAACCTTTTCAGCAGAAGTTGTTCAGCAACGAGCGCCACGCAGCGTCTTTGCAGAAAAGGACGTTCTTCTGGTTTGAGTTGTTCTTTTTCCACGATGGAACGGTTTTATGAAGAACTTCAGCCATTCTTGAGAACAAGAACTGGATGAACAAGTTTTAGTTTGTTGTGGGTTTTTTCTCTGATCCTCAGGTTCAGAAATATCTACACCCCCATTAATACAATGTCCCTCAGCCGGTCTCACCTGGACCTCAGGCTGTTTGTCTCCATCAGCTCGGTTCTGGCTGATGTCGGAATGCTCTGCTTCGTGGTTATTCAGCTGCTTTCCTGTCAACGTTAACGAGAGGCACAGATTTTCAGTCTGTTTCAGGCCAGAACTTTAGGAAGGTCGTTCCAGAAGATTCTCGTATGTTTGAGATCTTTGACTTGTTGGACCCAACTGGGTCTAAGTTCCAACTGTCCAACAGCTGGTCTGAGGTCAATATGAAGAATTCAGACATATTTGTCTTCTTTCATGATTCCATCTCCTTTAGTACCCCAGCATGATGCTCCCACCACCATGCTTGACAGCTGGTTCAGCCTCCTCAGGTCAACAGCATTTCAACCTTTACCTCGAAGACTCATTTACAAGTGAGTTTAGACAGACAAAAAGTAGTGAAACTGGACACACGTAGGAATTAAACAGACTGCAGAAGAAAACAAACTTCCTGTCTTTGTGTCAAACAGCTCAATATTTGTCTCGTCTGACCATCAAACCTTTCTCTAAAATACATTTGTCTCGACATGTGAACAGCTGCAGGTTTCAGTCCAAGCTTAATGGTTTTTCTTAGTTTCAGTCCATGGTGATGTAAAACTGGCTACACAGATGGACAGGGATCCTGCTGGACATGGACACTGATGGACCACGACTCTGGTAGACAGGGATACTGGTGGACAGGGACACTGGTGAACAAAGACCCTAGTAAACAGGGACACTGGTGGACAGGGACACTGGTGAACAAAGACCCTAGTAAACAGGGACACTGGTAGACAAGGACCCTGACAGACAGGGACCCTGGTAGACCGGGACACTGGTGGACAGGGACACCAGTAAATAAAGACACTGGTAGTCAGGGACACTGGTGAACAAGGACACTCATGGACAGGGACACTGGTAGACAGGGTCCCTGTCCACCAGTGTATCTGTATTTTTGTAATAAATATATTTTTTGTCTCAAACCTTTCATCTCTCCAGTTTGGTCATGACGTTTGAGCCAGGTTATAATCACTTTGGGGGCTCGTCCGGTGTCTGAACCTCAAACTTCTTGTGCCAAAAGTGAGACTCACACTCCTAGACATGAGCCGGGTCATGATATTTAAAAGAAAATTACAATAATTTCAAGCGTATCTGCATCTGTCCAATTCTTGTTTGTAAAAATCACTCAAGTCTCACGTCGTCAAGTCATTTCCTCAGTGGAAAAAAAAAAAGGTTCAAACAAATCCTTTAAAAGCCTAAAATTAATCTGACTTTAGTGCTGATGATGAGCGTTGGAAAACTTCTGACCTGGTGATTTGTACCCAGAATGCTCTGCTCCTTCAGGAAGCTGTTGTAATTCTTGGCGTTTCGTTGCGAGCCTGGAAACATTGTTGGTGTATAACCGGCGAACAATAGGTTCTTATTTCATGGATCTTTAAGCAGTATTCACGTTTGGAAGCACGAGCAGCGTGTAACCCTTAATTAGTTTAAACACTTTAAGAAGTCGGAGACGTTCAGGACTGATAATCACATTAAATGGTCCAATTTATCTGAAAAGTCAACTGCAAAGTGAAAAAAGCCCCCTCTTCTTTAGGAAGGCATTCTGCTGTGAGGATGTCGGAGTAAATTAAATTCTCCTCTCACACTAAAGCATCAATTTCCTTATGGTAATTATCTGCCGGGATAGACGTGTCAGCTGAAGGAGGCAGGCATGCTTGACATTTAGCCTTTTCATGAGCAAAAATTAAGATGAGGAAAA